CAGGGGCTTAAGGACAGCCAGTCCAGCTCCGACACTAGGTTCAGGGAAAGATCCTCTCAAAAACAGGGTGGAGAGAGAGAAAAGAAGACAGCTTGTGTCGACCTCTGGCCTCCATATGCACACTGGGTACACCCATACTCACATACATGTCCACATACACACAAAAATGCACTCACACATGCATGTATATACATCCAAATGAATACATATACACAATCATCAAGTGAATTCTAGCTTGTGGCATTGGTAGAATTTCCAACAATTTCTAAAATGGTCCTAAATACACTTTTGCCATTTCATATTACAAAGTGATGCACAGCAGGGGTCTCAGATGACACACAGCTTGGAAAACACTGAAGATGCTCTACAAGCCGCAGCATCAAATTTTCAGCCCCCACCCGATTCCTTCTGCAAAACCCATCTCATTATTTGTATTTTGTCTTCAATAAATGAGAGTCATATACTACAAAGAATTGTTTTAGAGTACATTTCATTATGACTTAATATCAATGAACTTTTTCTTTATATACCTATTTTATATACTTTTATACCCAGGGTTATATATAAGGGGATCACGAGTAGAAAAAGAACTTAGGAAGCACCCCATCTAGATCGCCAGCACCGGCAGGACCAGCTTGCGTCTGTCTCTTCAAGAGTCTAGTCAAATTCACCACTACCCTCCCCACCAGGCCGAGTAGGTAAATCAGGCTAGCCTCGAACTCACAGAGATCCACCTGCTTCTCCTTACCCATCCCTCCACCTTCCCAAGCTAAATTTCAAAGTTTGTGCCACCACACCCAGCCCATCTTGCCTTTTCAGCTCTCACTGGCCTGGGTCTCACTGAGCAGGTTAGTCTGGCTGAGCTCAGAGATCAGCCTGATTTTTCCTCCCCAGTCTAAGTGACATAGCAAGACCCTATCTTAAAACGGAAGGAAGGAAAAAAGGAAGGAAGGAAGGAAGGGAGGGAGGGAGGGAGGGAGGGAGGGAGGGAGGGAGGAAGGAAAGAAGGAAAGAAGGAAAGAAGGAAAGAAGGAAGGAAGGAATTTTTTTTTTTTAATTTAAAGAGTTCTCAAAAGTATGGTTCTCCCTTTGGCAAGTCTCACTTCCAACAACACCTGTAGGTTCAAGAGCTCTTCCTGGGGCTGGGGAAGACAGCAACAATTAAGAGCACTTGTTCTTGCTGGGCAGTGATGGTACATGCCTTTAATCCTAGTACTCTGGAGGCAGAGCCAGACAGATCTCTGAGTTCAAGGCCAGCCTGGTCTAGAAAGCGAGATCCAGGACAGACACCAAAACTACACAGAGAAACCTTGTCTTGAAAAACCAAGGGAAAAAAAAAAGCACTTGTTCTTGCAGAGGACACAGGTTCAGTTCCCAACACCCACATGGTGACACACAACTGTCCCTAACTCCAGTTCCAGGGGATCTGACAACTCTTCCTCTCTCTGCAGGTACCAGACACATATGTACATGCAAGCAAAACATTCTTACACATAAAGAATAAATCTAAGAAAACATCTTAAGCTCTTCCTAGCAATACATATGTATTATATGACATCTTTAAGAATTTAACATAAGGCCTGGCAGTGGTGGTACATGTCTTTAATGCCAGCACTCCGGAGGCTGAAGCAAACAGATCTCTGTGAGTTCAAGCCCAGCTTGGTCTACAGAGTAAGTTCCAGGACAACCAGGGCTGTTATACAGAGAAACCCTGTCTTGGAAAAAAAAAAAAAGAAAGAAAGAAAGAAAGAAAGAGGGA